ACTCCACCCGCCTGCTGGACCTGGAGGGGAGGACGGGGATGGCGGAGAAGAAGCTGATCGACTGCGAGAAGACGGCGGCCGAGCTGGGGAACCAACTGGAGAGCAAATGCGCTGCGCTGGGCACCCTGATCCAGGAGTACGGGCTCCTCCAGCGGCGCCTGGAGAACATGGAGAACCTGCTGAAGAACAGGAACTTCTGGATCCTGCGGCTGCCCCCAGGCAGGAAAGGCGAGGTCCCCAAGGTAACGGTGTCCTGGGATGCCCAAATGCTCGCATAGGGGCACAGGGGGGTGATGTGGTGGTGAGCGGGGACAACCCTGGTGCAGGTGGGACCCCCTGGCAGCTTCCCGGTGTCCTCCTGTGATGGGACGTGGAGCCCAGACGAGGTTTCCGTTCCCTTTCACCGATTGACTCCGTTTTTTTAACCCTTATTTGGGAGCAACCCCGCAAATCTGGTGGTTCTGGTTTCAGCACTGCTGTTTCTTTACCACCTCGGCATTGGAAACAGGAGCTGCTCGCTGCCGAAAAGAGGTGACCTCGGAAATTTGGGGGGGGGCCGGCGGGCGAACCCCTTGGCGCTGACAGTTGGGTTTAATCGAGCATCGGGAGGGGCGCACCAAAAATGCTCAGTTCCTGTTTGCAGTTCGTGACCTCCCCTCGCTAAAAGAGACTTTAAAAATAGGGACATAATGGGGTGAAGGTGCCAAAAAGGGTCTGGAAAAGGGGGGTTCTCACCCCGAAATCTGGTAGCGCAGTTGGGGAGCTGAACACAGCCTGAATTTATCCTTAGAAATTATTACTTGGCAAAGGGGGCTGATTCAGTAACGATAACGAGGAGCTTTCCCCGGAGTTTTGGGGTAATTAAATCTGGTTTTCCCATCAGCTCATCCATAGGGACGAGGTCCGGTCCTAGCGCCCGGTTTGGATCCCCTTTACCGGGTTTGGAGGTGCAAAGGGGGACCGAGAGGAGGAATTCGGTGTCGTGTGGGGAAATGACGGTTTGGGATCATCACCAGGACGTGGTTGTTTCCCTGAGACCTTTAATCTCGTAGAAATAAACATCCAGGAGTTGTTTTTTTCAATTAAAAAACCCCCCCAGTTTCTGGTTGCGGTTGCAGGTGCCGGTGACGTTCGACGACGTCTCCGTCTACTTTAACGCCAAGGAGTGGGAGAAGCTGGAGGAGTGGCAGAAGGAGCTGTACAAGAACGTGATGAAGGGCAACTACGAGTCGCTGATCTCCCTGGGTAATCGCGGGGCGCCTCCTGGGAACCCCTTCGCAGGGGCTTTCGGAGACAGGAAAATCGATGCGGAATTGGCTGCGCTTTGGGGCTCTTCCTGCCGAAGCTGCAGGAGAAATTTGGGGTCAGGATTCTGAAATTTGGGCTCTGAATTCTGAAATTGTGCCTCTCAATTCTGAAGTTCTGACTGAATTCTGAAATTCAGGCTCTCAGTTTTGAAGTTCTGGCTCTGGATTCGGAATTTCAGGTTCAGGATTCTGAAATTCTGGCTCTGGATTCTGAAATTCTGCCTCTCAATTCTGAAATTCTGCCTCTCAATTCTGAAGTTCTGACTGAATTCTGAAATTCAGGCTCTCAGTTTTGAAATTCTGGCTCTGGATTCTGAAAATCTGGCTCAGGCTTCTGAAGTTCTGACTGGATTCTGAAATTCAGGCTCTGAATTCTGAAATTCAGACTAAATTCTGAAATTCTGGCTCAGGATTCAGAAATTTGGGCTCTGAATTCTGAAATTCAAGCTCTCAATTTTGAAATTTGAGATCTGAATTCTGGAATCTGGGGTCAGAATTCTGAAATTCGGGCTCAGCATTCTGAAATTTGGGCTCTAGATTCTGAATTTCAGGTTCTGGATTCTGAAGTTCTGGCTCTGGATTCTGAAAATCTGCCTCAATTCTGAAATTCTGACTGAATTCTGAAAATCAGGCTCTCAGTTTTGAAATTCTGGCTCTGAATTCTGAAAATCTGGCTCAGGCTTCTGAAATTCGGGCTCTGAATTCAGAAATTCGGACTAAATTCTGAAATTCTGGCTCAGGATTCAGAAATTTGGGCTCTGAATTCTGAAATTCAGACTAAATTCTGAAATTCGGGCTCTCAGTTTTGAAATTTGAGATCTGAATTCTGGAATATGGGGTCAGAATTCTGAAATTCTGGCTCTGAATTCTGAAATTCGGGCTCAGCATTCTGAAATTCGGGCTCTAGATTCTGAATTTCAGGTTCTGGATTCTGAAGTTCTGGCTCTGGATTCTGAAAATCTGCCTCAATTCTGAAGTTCTGACTGAATTCAGAAATTTGGGCTCTGAATTCGGAAATTCGGACTAAATTCTGAAATTCTGGCTCAGGATTCAGAAATTTGGGCTCTGACTTGTGAAATTCTGCCTGAATTCTGAAATTTGGGCTCTCAATTTTGAAATTTGAGATCTGAATTCTGGAATCGGGGGTCAGAATTCTGAAATTCTGGCTCTGAATTCTGAAATTCGGGCTCAGCATTCTGAAATTCGGGCTCTAGATTCTGAATTTCAGGTTCTGGATTCTGAAGAAATCTGAACTTCGGACTCAGGATTCTGACATTCGGGCTCGGGATTCTGAAATTTGGGCTCGGGATTCTGAAAATCTGGCTCTGATTTCTGAAATTTGGGATCTCAGTTTTGAAATTCTGGTTCTCAATTTTGAAATTCAGGCTCAGAATTCTGAAATTCGGTCTCGGGATTCTGACATTCTGGCTCTGAATTCTGAAATTCTGCCTGAGTTCTGAAACTCGGGCTCTCATGTCTGAAATTTGGGCTTAGGATTCTGAAATTCTCTGAATTCTGAAATTTGGGTTCAGGATTCTGAAATTCTGGCTCTCAATTCTGAAATTGAGGCTCAGGATTCTGAGATTCTGGCTCAGAATTCTGAAATTTGGGCTCTAAAATCTGAACTTCGGACTCAGGATTCTGA